CCCCCCCAACTCTCCCAGCCTGTCCTCCCAGCAGAGGGGCTCCAGCCCTCCCAGCATCTCCGGGGCCTCCTCTGGCCCCGCTCCAACAGCTCCGTCTCCTTCTGCTGTTGGGGGCTCCAGAGGCAGTACTCCAGGTGGGGCCTTACCAGAGCAGAGTAGAGGGGCAGAATCCCCCCCTCGCCCTGCTGGCCACGCTGCTGGGGATGCAGCCCAGGATATGGTTGGCCTTCTGGGCTGCGATCACATATATTTTCTATATGTTTATATGTAAAACATAACAATATACAATTTTTATAATTTATATATTTAATATATAAATTAATGTACTTTTTATATAATATTTTATTTGATGTGCTAATATAGCCACCCGTGATGACAAAAGCTCTGCAGTATCTCGGCAATTCTAAAGTTCATCAGTAGATGGTGGTAGAAGCATTATCATCACCCAGCCACTGAGTTTCCAGTCCCTCGTTGAACTGCTGCTCAGGAATGGCAGCGCTGGGCAGCAGCGGGACCTTGCCCGTGCCCTGCCACCGCGGGCTGGTGGTCCTTTTGGGTGAGGGGCGACCGTCTTCTTGGAGAAAAGTGAAAATGGTTATATTTTCCTGAGGTCAATACAACACGAGGACAACAGCATCCTTTCCAAAAGGGAATGCCTCACTGCTGATGGTGCTCCAGCGTCTTGCCCACGCGGCCCATCGGCACAGCCGGGAGAGCCAGCGCGAGGGGGCCACGGTGTCACCTCTCCCTTTGCCCCCACAGATTACAAAGTGGGATGAACCTGCAGATTTGCTTTGTGAACGACAGCGGCAGCGACAAGGACAGCGATGCCGATGACAGCAAGACAGAAACCAGCCTGGACACGCCGTTGTCGCCCATGGTAGGTCTGAGAACCCGTCCCACAGAGGCTCTGGAGCATGGAAACCTTGAAGCCATCCATAACGGAAGCTGATAAAGAGCTGATCCTATTAAAACAGCAACTAAACCACAGAGCGGCATCTTCAGCCGTCAATAATAGAAATGCGAGATGCTGAGGGGCACAGAGCAAATTGCCTCTGGCTTTCACGGAGCTGCTGTAGAGCAGATGCCTTCATGTGAAGGTGTTCCTCCTTCCTTCCTTCCTCCTTTTCTTTTTGGCTCTGATAATTATCAGGGCAGTAATGGCTGTGACGTGGTATCAGCTCCACCAGCTTTCCTCTCCTCTCTTTTCCTTTGTGAATATAGCACCGCGGCCCCAGATGTTTTCCTCCAGCTTAACCAGTCTGTCCTTTCAACACCTATTGATCTGGTTGGCTCCTCTTTCCAGTTGAAGTGCTCGAGTTGCTATTAATAGTCAAGGGGGGGGCTGTTTGGGAATTACTCTGATTTTTAATGATAATCTTGTGGATTGAAGAGGGGAAAAAAAAAAAATCTGTGCTCTTCACTTTTTCTGTAAAAATGATACCACTTGTAAGCGTACAAAAATATGTTAAGCTGACAGCAGACTTTGCTGTGGCATGGTTGGGGTGACGGAGCTGTAACAGCTGCGTGTCTACTTCCCTAGAGCAAGCAGAGCTCATCCTACTCCGACAGAGACACAACGGAGGAAGAGTCAGAGTCCCTTGATGACATGGACTTCCTCACCAGGCAAAAGAAACTCCAAGCTGAAGCCAAAATGGCCTTGGCTATGGCAAAGCCCATGGCCAAAATGCAGGTTGAGGTGGAAAAGCAGAACAGGAAGAAATCGCCGGTAGCAGATCTTGTAAGTGGGGATCGTGGGATGGCGCGGGGTGGGTAACAACTTGTCAAGACACGTACAGTGGCCATCAGTCCTTGCTCACCGTGCTTGTAGGCATGCAGAGGAGCAGTGGAGATAGGGATAGTCGGTCAGGAGTTGAGGGGTTGTCGTGGTTTAGGCCAAATCGGCTACTGGGGACCCATCTCATCCCAAATGGGACCAACACAACCACTCAACCCAATGTGGTTTTGGTTGGGGGCCAGCGCGGCGCGGGGGCCACCTGCAGGGAATGAGAGGATGAAGTGCGAAGGTTGTTATCGCCTTGAGGTTGGCATGATGCTGCTCATCCTCTAAAGTGTAGTCTGCTCATCCCATCCCATCCCATCCCATCCCATCTCATCCCAAACTGGAGCACTCCTGCCTTGATACAATGCTGCTCACCGTACTCCTCGCCTCTCCTTGCGTCATTCCGTCCCTGATGCTGGTAGATCTGAAGACCTGGGTCAAATGCTGTGGAGATGTTTCAGCTGGTTTCGGTACTCTCAGTGCCATGCTTGAGGCAGGCTTGTGAGAGGGGGATGTCTGCAACGCAAACTGCCGCAGAAAACAGTACAAAATTGAACATTTCTTTTCAGCTGCCACATATGCCTCATATAAGTGAATGCCTGATGAAGAGAAGTTTAAAACCCACCGATCTAAGAGACATGACTATCGGGCAGCTACAAGTGATAGTCAATGATCTCCACTCACAGATAGAAAGTAAGTGATACTTGTTTAATTATTCTTCTGTATGTCTCGTTTAATTAAGAACAGTTCTGCAGGTTACATATAGGAGTGTTGATAAATGTATAATAGCATGAATATCTGGAAGAAGCACACCGCAGAAGCTGGAGATGGAGTTCTTTCCAGATTTGGCTCTTTCAGCCTTTTTCTTTCCTTTTTTTTCAGTTTCTCCTAGCGCGTTTGTGCTTGGCTCCGTAAGAGGGGAGGGTTGTAGCATTGTGCCAGCACCTAACGCCCCACTTGTAACTCAAAATCTGGTCGGGTAAAAATAGTCTCAGGAAGTCTGCCTGTCCTGGAAGCACCTGCCATCCGTGGCTCTATGGCCGCATCTTCACGTGTAGCTATGCCACGGCGTCAAAAACAGTCCCCCACCACCTCACCTTTGCTCTCTCCAAAAGATCCAGGGTTTTCTTCCCCCTAGGGATCTCCATCTCCTGAGTAATCCATTAATTGAGTAACCATTTTGGGGTAGACTTCTCTGGTGCCTGTAGGTCAAAAAGAAGGTTGGTTGGGGGCTGCTGTGCTGCTCCTTCCCTACCCGTGTTGGTTAATTGGCATCCCTTCTGGAAGCAGCCCTGCTGAGAAGGCAGAGCTGTGCTGTTGCGTCGTCATTTGTTGTTTTGTGCTGCAATGGCAAAAAAAAAACAACCACTCAACCCAATGCTCATTAATTAACCTCACTTAGAAAGCACCCAAGTATGGGAGCGTGAGTGTTGATGTGTTTGCTTCCCAAACTGGAGAGGTGTTGAACAAGTGTAGCTGTGCTTGAGCAGTCTGAGGGGGGGCTTAGAGTTTATCCTAGAAAACACCTTTGGGGAGGTCCCTCCTGGTTCTCCACACGTGTAACTCAGTGGGGAAGGATGATGTATGGGGTCCCAGCACGGGGTTCACCGGGACATCACAACTCACTGCCTTTCTCCCCGGCACCAGGCTTGAACGAGGAGCTGGTGCAGCTGCTGCTCATTCGGGACGAGCTGCACACGGAGCAGGACGCCATGCTGGTGGACATCGAGGACCTGACCAGGTGAAGGAGGCTCCTTGGGGTGTTTCTCTCTCCTCACAGGTCCCAGCTCCCCGTCGGCAGCGCATAGGAGTTTTCTTTTAGCAGAATTTCAGTACTAAAGCTTTTGCCATCAAAGGTAAGGGCTGAGCGGGACGCTGCTCTCTCCTCCAAAACAAGAAATCGAGGCATTTGGGTTCTGGAGACCGTCAGCAGCGTTCAAGAGCTCCCCAAATGCAGGTGTTGGTGCATGCTCTTGAACTGGTGTTTCTCTTTCCGAAGCTTGAAAAAAGCCTGGGAGGGAGCGATGCTGCAAACTCCCAGTGCATCCAAGGAAAATCCCAGCTCACCCACTGGGGTGAGCTACAGCCGGTCTACCTCCACCGTCAGGAGGACTTGACCCACAGGGCAATTGCCGAGTCTCTTAAATATTAACATTCAATAGCCGATAAAACGGGAAGCCTTGCAGAATGTAGGCAGGTTTCCCGAAGGGCTCCATCTCCTGGGCAGAGAGGCTGAAGAGGCATTTTCCTTCGAGATACGCAGCGATGCGCTGCAGAGACACCAAGAAGTGTTGAAAGCTGAAAAAGATGACGCTGGTCGTTGTCAGCGCGCGAGAACTGCAGGTTCAGAACCGAAGCATGAAGCTTGCAAAAAAATACAGCCGAAATTTGCTCCTATTATAAAACATGGTGGTGCTGTGTAGCAGCCGGTTGAGATTTGACGGCGCTCTGCCTGGGAAAAAGTTTCCGCCAGCTGGGGTGGCCGTGAGGGATTTGGGAAGAAGTTCTTGTGCTGCCCAGGAGATGGTGGCCCCAGGGACGAGCAGGCGGGTTGTCACTTCTGGGTCTCGTGGGACACCGTCGCTGCTTCCCTTAACAAAGAGCACGTGATGAAAGGTGGGGATTTGGGATGGGGGTGGAGCTGGGTCAGTAGATGAATGCCAATGCCACCACGCATCTGTTTGTCCTGCTGTGCTCCAGGAAACACTTTGCTTCCTCGATGCAATTAATGACAGTTTAGTAAATGAAGTCTATTTGGAAGCTGCTGAGGATGAGGGGGGCTTTGGTGCGTGGTGGGGGACACCGGCTGTCCCCATCCCGGCGTTGTTCAGGGTCATCCCTGCAGGAGGGGAGGACGTGATCCCTGCTGACCCTAAACCGCTCGGGAGAAAGGTTTCCTCTCCCCTTCGCCCACCTCCTGATGCCCTCCCGCCAGGAAGGAGCCCGGGCAGAGAGCACACATCCCTTACCCGGTGCTTGTTTGGGTTTTTTTTTTCCCCGGGGGAAAATGTTGGTTTTGGTTGGGGGCCAGCGCGGCGCGGGGGCCACCTCGGCACAGCCCTGCCTGTGGGCTGCGTGTCCTCCTCCCCTCGGCGCAGCGACTGACGCGGCTTCTTTCCTCTTCCCCCCCCCCCCTCCCTCCCCAGACACGCCGAAAGTCAGCAGAAGCACATGGCAGAGAAGATGCCGGCAAAATGAACCCCGGAGCCCCGGGAGCAGAGCTCGAGCGAGACTTCATTTTGCTTCTGTGTGTGTCCAAGCGCTGATGTCCACGGTGGCGCACGAGAAAAACCAGTGTTAGTCATTGACCATGTCTGAAGCTTTATGTCCGGTGATTGGCCTCTGCTTCTTAATTTATTTTAATTTTTTTACTCGTGCCACTAAATATCAGGCATTTTAATAATATTATTACAAAAAATGTACAGTACTTATAACATTATAAATCATGGGTGAGAAGAGAGGGTAGTTTAACTTTATTTTTGTTTGTTTAGAGATTTTCAGTTGAACGATATTTTACCATTGACTACTTTTTTATTCTTCACTGTAGTTTTAAAATAAAGAAACTGTACTTGACGGTGCTATACAAGTCAAAAAAAAAAAAATACATGCCTGCCTCGTAGTGAAGTTGTAGCTTTCAGTAATATGTATATTTTAATCAGTTTTCAACATTTTGTGAATGTTGACTACCTGACATTCATTTTTAGATGTGCTATTAACATTCGGTTGGATTCAGAGAGTTACCTTGAAAGTTTTATGTATAAATATGTAAAATAAAAATTTAAAAAATTGTTTCATATGATACGTCTTTTTGTTGCCTAGTGGTTGACTTTGGTGATGCACCAGTCATGTATTCCTCCAACTTAAATGTGCAATTCCTGATTTGTCATCACCAGAAAGAGCCTTTTTTTTTTTTTTTTTTTTTTTGCCGATCACGTGAAATTACGGAGAGGAGAGAGGATTTTTGTAGAGTTATTTATTTGTAAGTTCATAATGTATGTATGACATGGACCTCAGAGATTCTTATATAATAACACTCACTGGGCCCTAATATTGTGACTATTGTTAGAATCAGCAGGCACATACCGTAGATGGGGTTTTTTATATATTTTATTGTCTGGGCTAAATATTTAAGTGACTCACCAATGTCAGAAATAAAAAAAAAATCTATGTTAAAAATCTAAGCAGCATATTAAATGTATTATATATGGTAATTACTCACCTCTCTGCCTTTGGGCTGGGCTCCTCGTTAGTGGCTGAGCGCTGGATGTGTCCTCTTCTGCCCGTACCGGAGGAGGGATGCTGGGAGACTAATAGGTCTGTCTCCATCCCTCGTTTATTTGATTTAATGCTGAAACAGCTCGGCCATCCCCTTCCTAAGGCTGCCTGGCCTGAGCTGCCAGGAGATGGGCATTTCACCCCCACCAGCTTTTTACATTTTAATTCTTTTTTTTTTTTTCCTCGGGGCCAAATCCATCTTTAGCGAAGGGTCTGGCTAATGTCTTATTCAGGGTGTTTTCAGAAAAGCGTGAGCTGCATTAAAATTTCACGCCCCCCTCACGCCCCCGCCAAGAATGTATTTTATAAAATGACTTTCCCCACACACCCCCCACACACACACACACCCTTCTTTTTTGCAGAAAGTGGAGGTTCTGGAAGCGCCAGCCCTCGGCGGCGGGGTTTGGTGGGGTTGGGGCAGGGGGGGGGATTGGTGGTTGGTTTAATTTAGGGTTGGTTTTTCCTTTCCTGGGGGGTTTCCAATGGACAGTCCCTGTCCCGCAGCCCCCGTGGGGGGCGTCCCATGTCCCTGCCGGGCACTGTCCCCAAGGAGGGAGCTCTGCCTGACACCCCCCCCTTTGCAGGAAGATGCTGGGATGGGTTAGGCTGGAGAGCCCTCTCTTGCAGACTGGGGACCATGTAAAAACTCTTATTTTGCTTTTTTTTTTTGGAATCTATGCAGAAAGAAAATATATATATTGGGGGTGTTGGTTTCCCTGTAGCTCTTGGTTAGCTTGATGCTGTTGCCTGCGTGTGGGAGACCTGTGGGGTTTTATATTTCTGCTCTAAAATGCCGTTTTTTGCAGTGCTCTGAGGCCAAAACCGTCCCCGCGGGGCGCGGAGCTGTGTGTGCCTGCGTCAGGAGCGGCTGGTGGGGTAGCGGTGAGGAGGTGCTTGCTGCTGGATTTAAAGGATGGACAGCAAAAAGCCCCAAATACAAAAAGTTTGCTCGCAGCTTTAAAAAGAAAAAAAAAAAAAAAAAAAAAAACACAAAAGAAAGCTCCCGGGTGCTCCCGGGGAACCCCGTGGCCTCCCAGTATCGCCCACAGCATCGCCCCCGGCATCGCCCCCACCAGGGTCCAGCTTGTGGGGCACAGGGGTGAGGCAGCCCAGTCAGGCTGGCGTTTCGTTCCCTTGCTAAGTGCCTTTAACTTGCTGAAGAGAACTAGTTATTCCGGTCACCTACCGTTGTTTTTTCCCTCCTTACATCCTTAAGGGGTTGTTTGGTTGGTTGGTTTTTGGTTTGTTTTTTTTTTTAAGAAAAAGTGTGTTTCTGGGTAACTGCATCTCCTTGGCTCCGTGTCCCATGTACCGAGGTGTCGTGCTGGTCTGTATGATGGCAATGCTGTGGAATTAACGGATTAAATGACATTTTTAAAAGAAAAAGGTGTCGTGTGGTTTCTGAGCTGCTGCTACCGCCCTGTCACGGACAATATGTATTTTATCACCTATTTCTTTCTGGGTATCGGTAGTTTTTGAGTACTGCTGTAGCCTTCTGGGTGGCTTTTTAGTTCCTCCTCCCCTTTTGCCCACCAAACATAAACCATCTCACGTGGGATGCCAAACTTCGCAGTGCTTTCCTTCTGCAGGCTGCCCGCAGCTCACTGTGTGCGAGGGGAAAAGTACCTCCCGAGACTAGAAGTCACCAAAAATACCTGATGCGGTCAGCAAAAACACCTACCCGCCCTGCACACGCACCGGGGCGATGGGAACGGGGGTCCCACGAGCTCCCCGCATCACCCAGCCTGCCGCCCTCCACGCAGCAGCCGCACTTGGCTGTAGCTAATTCTGTATATCCACGGGGAATAGCTGCTCCTCGCAGCGTGGGGGATTTTGGGGAGCCACATCCTTGAGGAGAATTTGGGGGTTTTGTTCTGCCTTACCTTTTTTTTTTTCCATTTTTTTTTTTTTTTTTGATGGTTTTCTTCCATGAATGGGACATTTACACAGTTCCACTTGAGACTCCCGATATCAGTACTGTAACCCGGGACCCGAATTCCCCGAAGGACGCTCAAAGGGCTCTCAGTCAGAAGGTTGCTTTCAAGGCGGTGGGGGGGTGGTGAGCTCAGCAGGGACAGTAATAAGCAGCTTCTGTTATGACAGCGGCCGCTGCTCCACCATGAGGACTGGGATTCGGCATCCAACCATCGGGTGCCTGCAGCAGCCCCCATGCCCAGTGCCCCCTCGCTCATAATAGTGAGTGGAAAAGAAATGTGTTTGTTTGGGGAATCATGGAATCACAGAATGGTTTGGGGTGAAAGGGACCTTGAAGACCATCTAGTCCAACCTCCCCTGCCATGAGCAGGGACACCTCGCACCAGCGCAGG